AGTAACTATGTTATCTCAGGATAGTCATCGAAACCAAGTTTCTCTTCGTATCTACACTTATTCTTTGTTTGTTCTTTGAACAAGGTTTATATCAACTACTCCTCTTTTTGTAAATTGGCCAAAATTTAACCTGAATGAAGATGACCTTAGAAACTTGAATGTGGATTTGTGGGAAGGCAGTCCTTGGATCAGCGTCCCGCAGTCTCCCTACCTCCGTCGTCAACCAAAGTATCTATTCACTATTCACTTTCCCCACAAGCATAACGCCATATTCATAGTGATGAAGGAGTGGAAGTTGAATTTTTCCACAATGATATAAAGCCTAATTATATCAGTATGGAAAAATGTATCTATTGTTGAATAGAATGTGCAGTTATGATTGAATAAAAGGATCTGAATGTGTGATCGCCACGAGCAGGTCAAGATCATTGAATAGCCGTGAAAAGGCATCATTTCCTGTATCACATGAGGCCTTGGCTATATGATCACCAGCACTATGGTTGGCCTTCTGTTTTCTCATGTGATTTGCGTCAAGTAAGCCGGTGCCTCCAGTCTTCAGCAGTTTTATAGGCTGACTTTTGGAGCTCTTGCTTGCAGGGCCGACGACATCACATGTAAACCCTTTCTTCACATGGACAAACGCCGTCACTACGCGTTTCGGAATCTCCCAATCGGTGTGTCACGGTTGTGAAGGCTACGTCAGGCCGGATAAATTGATTCATCTCGTCGGTACAGTCACTACAGGATCAATTAACTGCGCAATTCTTTGTCATTCTGAGATTTCCCCTTTTGGTGCCATACCAGAACGAGGGTATCCAGCAGGACAAAAAAACCATTATGGCCGCAGATACATGTATGACTAATGTACAGAAGCAAGTTGGCGTAGCCCAGCGACAGGGTAGCTGGAGGCCGCTATGACAGTATCAGGTGGGCAAATCAAAAAGACAGTCGGAGAATACGCCATATTAGGTGCGTTCCTGTAGGAGCTGGGCCAAATGCGAATGGGAAATGGCTCAACCTGTACCGGGCAGAAGGGGGCGTGGAGATGGAGACGGGCTAGAAGACGGTACGGCAGGGCAGAGAGGGAACTAGGACGGGAGCAAAGAGGACGGGACAAGTGATAGGACTAGAAGTGATACGAAAAGAGGGTACAAAGGAATTTGAAATGGTGTTTAGATCAGGAAAAAATGCTTGTCTGCTGATGCAAAACGAGTCGCATGGCAATAGGGTCATGTTCACTCGTGAAATAGGTCAGCAACGCTCGCATAGGCCTGGTCTCCCACTATCACCTGAGCCCTACGTGGATAGCCATTACTGCTGGCATTTGGCAAATGTCACTTGCACACAGGCCTTACTGGCCTCTTCAGCCCCCTCAGTCTGCCTATGACTTGGATAATCGACGTTGAGCCTTCGCTCTGCCCATGACAGACATTTCTTCAGTGCTGACCGCCAGCAACGTCTTTTTTAGCCCCTTCCACCAAGACTGATGTCGGCTTTCCCGTTGCCCAGATTTGCCGCCAGCTTTTAAGGGCAGCTAGAGACTATGGCCTGAATCCCTTCATCGAGGGACGCACTTAAATTATGGACTCGATCCAACATAGCAGAGTTAGTGTTGCATTTGTGTGATTCGACTGTGCAGCCAGCTTAGTCTCTATTTATGCAAAAAAATTATCCCTCCAATATTGGCCAAGAGTGGGTATGAGGACAAAAGTGGTGTGACCTTGGACACATTTCTTTTGTAGATACGAAGAGAAACTGGGTTTCGATGAATTTCCTGAGATAACATTGTTGGGGGGGCTTTCATTTCGTATGAAAGTGCATGAAGAAGAGATTCGTTGGTCGATCTTACCAGAAGATGATTCTCATCAGATGATTCCCGTCATACTGAATCCGTCTGGCTTTTATATGATGTTCCGGTTGACGCAGTCAGCGAAACTGCGTCAATATGAACATCGTATAAAAGCCAAACGGCCTCAGTATAACGGGATTCATCCGTCCTCTTCTGGCGAGATTGACCAACGCATCTCTTCTCTTTCATACGAAATGAAAGTCCCGCCAACATTTATTTTGGTAAAATTAAGCCAACATTGAGCCCAATAGAGAGGCGAAATCTCAATTAACCGTCCGATGCTTAACAAAGACATTTTTGATAAGATGAATTCGCCCTAGCTCGTCGAAGAGTATAAGGTTAGCTAAATTTTTCCCCAATTATAGGACTGGGCCCTACAAGTCCATTTAATTTCATAAAGTCTGGCTGTCCAAAAGAAGCTTTTATCCCAAGCGGACTGCAGTTTCGAACTCACCTAAGTCTCATCAGCCCTCTCAGCGAGACTCGATCCCGGGTATTTTTGCGGCATATAAACTCGGCACGTTAATCTAGGTTAATATGGTGCCAGGGGTGCTGATGAGACGTGGACGAGGTTGAAGGTGAAGTCTACTTTGGACGAAAATACTTTTTTAAAAGAAGATGATGTAAAATCAAAGCAAAACATGAGACATGCCCATATGATTGGGGGACAATTCAGATAACAGTCCTTCATTACCTTAAACGAAATATGGTGTTTACGTTTTATATATGTGATATATTGGTAGTCTCAAAAGAAATGGAAAATATAAGAGTATCGTCAATCGAGACACTTGTCATATTAAAGTAAATATTAAACACCTCGAGTCATTTCTTACTTACCTTTAAAAGTCTTATACTATATAAGACATTAACTGATTTATAGAAATGCTTATTTAGTAACTTTTATAAAAATACGCAATGTTAAAGCTGTATGACATTTGATCAGGGCTATGAAGACTTTGTTTTTGGTATCCAAATGAATGAGCAAGAATAAACTTATTTGCCTACTGCTAGCATAAAGTATTTGGGCTAATGTGTTTTAGCTCCGACGATTTTCGTCATATAAATGATGAAAATTCAGCCTGCATTCAGCCAAAACGATAAAGAATGTCAACGTCAGGACTGGAATTCATTATAGCGATAGTTTCAAGTTGACATACAGTCTAAAAGAATATTTGACTCAAACCAAAATGCCATAAATACTCATTAGCAAAAACGAAAATAGAAAGATATACAATCATCTGGTTAATTCTTTTTTATATAGAAATGTTTTAAGTGATCTAACGGCATCATTCTTTATCCATTTGGGAAGATACATAGAATGCAGTATAGAACGATATATTCCCTTTTAGGTGAGGTTAATTTGAAGATGACAATTTACAAAGACGAAGTATAGTTCTGACAACGTCCTTCATGTGTCATGGCGGATAAAAGCCCAGTTCATTTTCGCTCGAGACCAAGCAGAATGTCTCGTAGGCTGCTGCAGAAGAACGGTCTTTTTCCGATGTTATCAACCAAGGAATCTCTTAATCATGTGCTTTCATAATAAGAGAAATTCTCCACAACAATGCTGTCCTGGTATGTTCATCGAAATCCATGCATGCAACGATACACACTTATTTTTATTTAATTTAGTTTTATGATAAATTCCGTAATAAAGATATCATCAGACAACAAAAGTTGATTGCATTTGTTCGTCTGGGGTACACAGGCACACGCAAGCCTCAAAATGTACTCGTTCGTGTCCATTGGGATTTAGTCATTTATATTGGTAAACAGACTTCATGCTAACAATAGCTTCAAAGCTATTATTGACTCAAAAAGTAATAACAATTGACTGGAAAACGAAGGGGAAGCAGAAGAATAGGTTTCGAGGACTGCTCCAGCCTGGATGTTCCTGTAGGCTAAACAGAAAAAGTTCTAATTCTGGCAAATTCGGCCTACGAAGCTCTTCCTTAACTCCCTCCCCTCCCTACACATGCACACATAACAACAATATATTAGTAGAATGATCGAGAGAATGCTACTTTTCGCGTATATAAAAGAGTTACGAAATGTAAATTGGTTTCAATAGATCTCTTAAGATAACGCCGTAAGGGAGACTTTCATTTCATATGAAAGTGCATGGTGACGGGATTCAGTCGTTTGGCTCTGATACGACGTTCTGATTTACACAGATCACG